ATCGCCGGGGACTCGAATTTAAATCGATGCACAGAAGCCATCAAAGAGAGGGTAAGAGGTGACAAAAGGGTTGCAGTAGGGGCGTTCCCAGGATGCAAGCTGGAAGCAGTCATGAGGCAAGCGAGCGCAAAGCTCAAAACGACAGCTGATAGACGAAACCTCGTGATAATTTCAGGCGGTTTAAACGATGTCCTAAATGAAGATGCAGCAGGACTAGCAGCCACACTGGCGAAAGGCGTCGATGACATGCGCGCCACTTCTCCTAAGGTACAGGTAGTGATATGCACGATACCGGAGGTACCGGTGCGTGATAGCAACCTGCAAAGAGCGGTGGTCAACGCAAACCAAGAGAGATGGTGGGTGAGTCGAGAGAAAGGCTTTGAGGTGGTGGAAATAAACAGAGAGGTGCATAGGGGGTGGGGGGGGTTTACACGAGACAGAATTCACTTCGATGGGCGGCTAGGTCATGAGGTGGGTTGGCGACTTGCAGGACGCGCAGTAGCTTTTTTGGGGGGCAAGCGAGCCCTTCGGGGTGCAGGATAGCCAGTAACGAGGAAAACAACCAGGGAGACTCTTCGACAGGTGGTATGGACAGATACGATTCCAAAGTGGCACCAATATCTAAGATAGGTAGAGTCCGGGGCATAAATAGACGTAGCCACGAGTGCCGAGCCAATTCAGACATAGGGTATATTAACATGCAGGGTGGTAGGAACAGGCTGAAGTGGGAAGAGATAGAATAACAGCTGAGGGAAGAGAGGCCGATGGTATACGGTTTTGTAGAAACACATCTCAGGGACATGGAACAACCTCCGAACAATCCGGACTACGCGTTCAGGAGTTAGGAAGAAAGTGCGAGATAATTATACTAGGAGACATGAATGCGCACATAGAAGATATAGATGGGTATACTGACCCGACAGGCAAAATGATCATGGATATGTGTGAAAGGCTTGATTTGATCATTTGCAACAGTACCGAGAAGTGTGAAGGGCAAATAACATGGGAGGTAGGAAGGCTTCAGTCGACGATAGATTATGCACTGATGTCACATAGGATGTATGATAAGCTCAGGGGAATACACATAGATGAAGGTGGCTCCAGAAGTCTGGGTAGCGATCACAAACGTATCAAGCTAAGATTTGGAAGAGCAGTGAAAGTGGGAAGGAGACAAGATGAGCAACTACAGGAAAAGTTATATCCAGAAAGGCAAATTGAAATAGCCACTAAACAAATTGAGAAAGTAATCACGGAGGTAATAAGACAGGGTGGACATACACGAATCTAATTAGACTCTTTGAGCTAGAGCTTGCTAAGACGCGTGACAAGTCACCCCGGAAAAGAAGACACAAACCCAAAAGTTGGTGGGATGAGGAAGTTAAGAGAGCCATAGCAAAACGTCAGGAAGCTTCTAGGGAACACAGACATGCTAACCAGCGGGATGAACCGACAGGTGATGTTGAAAGAAAATGGGCAACCTTTCTAAGCTGTAGAAGGGATGCATCCCTTCTGATCATGAAAAGATTAGAAGGAAGGGAGCTCAGTGGCTGGCAGAAGTACATAAAGAAGATAGAAAGGCAGCTGCGAAATTTCGGAACCATCCAAACTCCCTAAGAAATGAGACGAGCCTAGAGCAGAGTTTTATAACTACAGCCCAAGGTGCTAGGCTAGAAGGGGACGAAGCTATTGAATATATAAGAACAAGGGTGACAGTAAAATTCCAACAAAGAAGTACTTTATGCACCACAATAGACAAGGACGAATCAAGTGGTGCAATGGCTCCATTTTCAAAACAAGAGTGGGAAAGGGCTGAGAAAAGGGTTCCTAGTAGTACATCAACAGGCCCAGATGGCATTCCAATTAGGCTGATAAAGACATTAGGTCCGAAGTCTAAGCAGGCTTTGAGAGAGGCATTGAGCACAATAATCATCGATGGTGAAGTTCCCGATAGATGAAAACTTAGCAGGATGAGCATGATCTATAAAGGAAAGGGGGACAAAGCTGACATAAACAACTACCGTCCTATAACAGTGACATCAGTGGTCTACAGGTTGGCGATGCAGATTATAAAGGAAAGACTGCAGGCGTGGATAAAGGATGAGGGGTGCTGGGGGAACTGCAGAATGGGTTTCGGAAACACAGGAGGTTGGAAGACAATCTGTTCTCACTGACGCAGTGCATCGAAATAGCAGAAAAGGAACACAGACCCCTGTGGCTAGCATTTTTGGATATCAAGGTAGCGTACGACAGCGTGGTTTAAGAGGACTTGTGGGGAATAGTAGACACACTGGGTGTGGAAGATGAAGTCACTAATCCTTTAAAGGAAATCTATAAGAGTAACAAGGTAGTTGTAAAGTGGAAAAAACAGGTATCCAAGCCTGCACAGTTAAAACGGGGACTTAGGCAGGGGTGTCCTCTGTCATTCTTATTATTCATGATGTACCTACAAGGATTAGAGGCCAAATTAGAGGGAAGTGGACTGGGCTTCAACCTCCTTTTCGTCAAACTAGGAACACTCATTGAACAGGCACTACCAGCATTGATGTACACAGATGATATAGTGCTAATGGCCGACAACAAGGAAGATTTGCGGAGATTGATGGACATCTGCGGTGATGAGGTAGATAGGTTAGATTAAAGATTCAGTAAGGAAAAATCAGCAGTCATGAGTTTTAATGACAATTAAGTTAGTGAGCTTAGAATACAGGAGGTCACGCTAGAGATAACAGATAAATACAAATATCTGGGCGTATGGATAAGCAATGGGGCCGAGTACCTAAAGGAACACGGAATATCTGTGACGACTAAAGGTAACAGGAATGCCGCGGTAATGAAAAACAGGGCACTTTGGAATTACAATAGGTATGATGTTGTGAGAGGAATATGGAAAGGGGTCATGGTTCCTGGTCTGACGTTCGGCAACGCGATCTTGTGCATGAGATCAGAAGTTCAAGCAAGATTAGAAATTAAACAACGTGAAATATGTAGGCTTGCCTTGGGAGCCCACGGGAATACACCAAATCAGGGAGTACAAAGTGATATGGGATGAACATCATTTGAGGGCAGGGAAGCTAGCAGCAAGATAACATTTGGGAAGCGATTGAGAGAAATGGGGGAGGAGCGTTGGGCTAGGAAGGTGTTCAGCGACTTGTACATGAAGAATGTCGATACGAAATGCAGGAAGCGAACCAGAAAATTGACTGGTAAATACTTAGAAAACAGCAGGGGACGAAACCAAAAAAATTATCGGTTAAGAAGAAGGTGAAAGAAGCTGAGACTGATATGTGGAGACTTGGCATGATTAAGAAGTCCGCACTTGAGATCTATCGAACTTTTAAGCAGCGAATTGCCAAGGAAAGGATCTATGTTAATACTCGGGGTAGTTCTCTACTGTTTGAGGCCAGGACGGGAGTATTGTGAACCAAGACATATCGGGCCAAATACGAAGGGGTACACACGGTATCCAGTGCGTGTGAAGAGGAAGAGGAAAGTGTCGAACACTTGATAATGTTCTGTAAAGGGCTTCACCCTATAGTTCAGGATGATGGCGCAGAGTTTTTCAAAGCACTGGGGTTTAGTGACAGGGAGGGCAAAATAGACTTTAAGCGGGTAGAATTAACTAGAAGGAGGTTATCAGATTGGTGGCTAAAGTCAAGGCACGGGTGAAAATAAACCCTTCACAGCAAAATACGAATACCCAACCTCATTATTTAAAGGAAAAAAACTAGTTTCGGTTCATTAAGTATTACGGCTTGGTGGCGCTAGCTACCGCCCGATCTAAAGGGTGCAACCCTATCCATTTATCCAGCGCTGGCGACTGCGAGTGACGGGGTAGGTTGACGACGGGGTGCATCTGGCGGCAGTGAAACTGCGTCTTTGCCGCAAAATTGCTTCCCGATACACTTATTTTAACCGTAGATATCATCGCTAATTATCTTCGCGGCGGCGATAGAAGGAAATAAAAAAATTTACCGTTCTTATAGCCTTCTACAGATGCACAAACTAGGAGTTTGGCATATTTTAGCCGCGCGCACACAATTTTAGTTGTCTTAGGATGGCATGTGCCTCACAATAGAGTTTGACCAGTGCTTCAGTGCTCCCCCCCCCCCCCAAATCAAGCTGAATGTTTCAGCTGACAAAGGCTGGAATGGTCAACAAGTCACTGTCAGACCAATGAAGCACCAACGAAAAAAAAAGTACGCAAAAGAGTATACGCACATTTTTTAGAGCTGTACCTATTGTTGTTAATTTGGTAGACATACCCGCTTTATTGTGCTCTCTACGCACGCAGAAAGCAGCTGCGACAAAGTTCCTTGAATATTAGCGAGTCATTTGCTTAGGTGTGTGCAGATGTAGGGGGGAACAGGGCACAAAGTCTGCCCCATGCATTAGATTAATAGGGAGGGAAGCAGCTGCTACTGCGATGAACCTCCACCCTCCTCCAAGGTAGATGTTTGAGCTGGCAAAAGGTGGCAAAGTGGAGTAACTGCCGGACAGATAAAGCAATAAAGGAAAATTGAACACAGGGAAAAGGCCGCGCCTTTTGTTTCAACTGTGTAATTGTTTTTGCCAATTGTTAATTTGGGAAATGCACCTGCTTTATTGTGCTTTCCTGCGTACGCAGAAAAGGGCAGCGATGAAATTTTTTGAAGACCAGTATATGTGAACTTTGGGATGTGGAAGGGTTATGGGACAGCTGCCGTCACTTGGGGTGGGAGGGGGGGTTCCGTTAGAATTTTGATTTTGTTTTTGCAAAGTCTCGTTGGAAGTATGGGCACTGAGAAATCAAAGTTTGCATCCAGCTTTTGCTTATTGTTTTTCTTTTTTTATTATGTTAATGTAAGTACATTTATTTCGTTTGTCGCAACTTCTTAATATTATGAGACCACGTCTGGTACGGCAGTTGGTTGGTTGGTTGGTCGGTCGGTCGGTCGGTCGGTCGGTCGATTGGTTGGTTGGTAACAACTTTGAAATCCGACAGAGCTTTCGCCGACCTGGCCTTAGGCCTCCCGCCTGGGGACGTCAAGACCTTGCCTGACCGCCACCTCGCTGGCCTGCTGGACGGCCCAGAGTTGGTCACCGAGGTTGGGGCTGCACAGGGTAGCGACCAACCGCGGCGGAAGGGTTCTGGATTTAGCACCTTGCGGATTTCTGGTGCAGTCCCAGAGCATGTGATTTAATGTGGCAACCTCAATATGGCATATCTTGCATATATTCGACGGATATATATTGGGGTATTGTCTGTTAAACAGCGATGAATTGGGATACGTGTGCGACTGCAGCTGTCGTAGGGCCGCTGCCTGCATCCTGTTCAGCTTCTCGCTGGGTGAAGGAAAGGTTCGGCGGGCTAGGTAGAAAGCCTTGGTAATTTCGTTATAGGTCGTCAAAAGGTCTTGGGTGTTTCCCCATAGAGGACGTTCGCCAGCGTGGTTCATGAGCTCGCGCGCCTTGGCGTGTGCCGTCTCGTTTGGGTTGCGGTGTGTCTCCGATACCTCTCCCATGTGAGCCGGGAACGAGACTCCTGTGGGTCCCGGTTTGGTGATTGCCTGTGTATTTTTTCCCTTGTTGCTTTATCCGTCCGGCAGATGACCATTCCAGCCTTTGTCAGCTGAAACATCCACCTTGGAGGAGGGCGGAGGTTCATCGCAGCAGCTTCCCTCCCTATTGATCTAATGTATGGAACAGACTTAGTGCATCCCCCCCATGCACTAGTAAAACTGCATTGTGAGGGAGATGCCATCCTAAGACAACTAAAATAGCGTGCGTGCGGCAAAAATACGTCTAACTCCTAGCTCGTGCATCTGTAGGAGGCTATATGAATAGTAAAAATTATATTTATTTATTTCTATCTCTACCGCGAAGATAACTAACTATAATATCTACGGTTAAAATAAGTGTTTCGTGAAGCAGTTTCGGGGCAGGGACGCAGTTTCACTGCCGCCAGCTGCATCCCGTCACCAACCTCCACCGTAACTCGTCAGTGCTGGATGGATGGATGAATTGATGTGGCTGTACCCTTTAGATCGGGTGGCGGCTAACGCCACCTAACCGTAATACTTAGTGAACCAACAACTAGATTTATCTTTTTTTTTCTTTAAATAGTGAAGTTGAGGACTGGTACTTTGCAGTGAAGAGTTGAATTTTCACTCGTGCCTTGATTTTAGCCACCAATCAGATAACCTCCTTCTAGTTAAGTCTACCCGCTTAAAGTATATTTTGCCCTCCCTGTCTCTAAATCCCAGTGCTTTGAAAAACGTTGTGCCATCATCCTGAACTATAGGGTGAAGCCCTTCACAGAACATTATGAAGTGTTTGGCTGTTTTCTCCTCCTCCCCACATGCACTGCATGCCGTGTCTATCCCTTCGTATTTGGCCCGGTATGTCTTGGTTCGCAATACTCACGGCCCTCACCGTAGAGAACTACCCCGAGCATTATCATAAATTCTTTACTTGGCAATTTCCTGCTTAAAAGTTCGATAGATATCTAGTGCGGACTTCTTTATCATGCCAGTTCTCCGCATTTTGTCTCCGTTTCCTTCACCTTCTTCTTAAGTGATAGTTATTTTTGGTTTGGTCCCCTGCTGTTTCCTAATTATTTAGCCGTCAATTTTCTGGTTTGTTTTCTCCATTTTGTATCGGCATTCGTCATGTATAAGTAGATGTGTGTGCCGCGACGTCGGCGCCCCGCCGCCAACAGTTTTCGCTACGCCGCCACTGCCAACTGATCGGCGCGCCGCCGCTGCTGATGTGTTTTCTGGGTGCGCCGATCAATTTTTCTTTAGTAAACCTGGCTTTCTTTGATATTTTATTCTGTCACCAGTAAATTTTTGGTCCTTTCTTCATTCCGCCCTCTAGTAAACGCATCGCAATCGATTTTGTTACAGTTAAATAACTGGATCAGAAAAAAATACCAGGCCTGCGCGGAAGGCGAAGCACAGTGACAGCGAAAGCTATAGAAGAGCGGCCTTTCAGTCTTTTCTAAACACTCATTTGGTAACTGCTGCAAGCACACTTGCTTGATACCCACTATGGCATTAATAATAAAAACTTTAGGGCAGTAGGCTGGCATTCGCTATGCTATTTTTTGTAATTTTCCTGAAAAGCGTGGTATCCAGTAACAGTTGCAAGAAATATTGCGCTGCTGCTGGCTGACGATGAGGAATTGTGCCTGGATTGGGTATGTGCCACTAATAGCTGAACAAAAGCAATATCTTGTAAAGAGCGCACCGTGCGCTATTTCATCCAGCGGCCGTGGTTATTTCGCGGTTTTAAAACGCTTTATAAGTCCTATTAAAGTGATCGCTTTCCCGACATCAATCAAGCCTACCTAAGGCAAGTTTGCCAAAAAGCCCCAAGCACCGGTTTGGCTCAGTGGGAGAATACAAGGCAGGCACCCAGTGGACCCTGGTTCAAGCTTCACTGTGTCCTTGGTGCTAGGTCATTTTTGTTTTTTAATTTCGTGCGATGTGGCTACGGACACCGGTGGCGGCGGGCAACTCCGTGTTGTGATCTCATGTCAGCTATCACTGTGAAACTTGTTCAGTACACTAATAACGTAGGAAGGTAGTGTTGGACTCAAAATAAACGTAATTTTAAGCTACTTTCAAGCTCACTGTAATTAAGCGAACACAGGTCGGTACCAGCGCCAACGGCGGTGTTTGGCGAGGACATATACCATCATATTCTGGCTGACGATCGAGTCTACATACTCCCTTTCACACAATATGTACTTATAAGAGGTGTGGAAAGACGGCATTAGAATAACAATCAATACGACTGTGAAAACGAGTGAAGGAACGTTTGCAGTTCAAAGAGAAAGATCGGCGCTAGTTAATGTAGAAGCCCCATTATGTAATGCCCTTGCAAGAAAGGGGGACAACTAAAACAATTAACTGAACTGAGCTGAATGCGTATAGCAGTTGCTTATAGTTGCTTATGAACGAGCAGGAGCCAGCTGTTTGCGGCATGCGTATTTAGAAAAAGTCCGTTAAGAAATTGGAACACAGCCTTTAATGAATATAGAAAGAGACGATCAACACAACAGATGAAGTATGCTCTATCAAACAAACGATCCAGTTGGCAGGTTCAACAAAGTCGACCATTGGGCGAGCCTTAGGATCACCATAAACTTGTGCGAAGTACTGCACGCAACATGAATGCATGCGGATAAAACACTAAGTATATGTAATGTTTTGTGTTTCCTCCGCTTTCTCATGCACTCGCCAGACAATCAAACCGAGTAATCTGCGTCTTATTTCACCCGTGTTCTATCTTCGACTAAATTCGAGTAACTAAATCTAGATGCCGATTTTCCCCAACGGTGTTTGAAACAGTACATCACTAACGCAACTTGCTGTGAGAGTTGCTTCATAATATTCGGAAGAGGAGTCCAACGAGAGACGCGAAGACAGCAAAGGAGAACAACCACAGGAAACGAGCATTGGATTTCAACCACATTGCAAATTGCAGCTAGAAAGCCTACCCACACACAAACCAGCAACGCGTGCATGTATAGGCTATCTGATCCCTTCACAGTTGCACACCTAACAGTGCACAGGTGTTAAGGTGTTACGAACAGCACATTTTCATGAAACACTATAGTCTCGACCCTACCGTGCAATCACTATGTAGCAATGCGCATTCTTTATCTGCAAGGAAAACTGATGAATGATTTACACAAGACATTTTTCCATGTTTTTGTTTTTATCTTATTTTGAAGGCTGTAAACGCTTTAATTTCAAGCTTATTTTCATTCTTTTGCCAATGACACTTATTGATTTGAAATCAGGGGCGCAGAGTCATCGCAGTGCAGAGGTGAGTTTCCACCAGCACCTGCAGGGAGTATAATGCGGGGTTCACGCAGTCTGTCATTGAAGCTGATCTACTGTTATGACCATTGTAGACAGGGCTGCATGATAAGAAAATTTCGAAACTCACGTATGTCTGCACTGCAAAGGGTGTAGCTTCGCGCCCCTGATTCCAAATCAGGGTGTCATAAAAAAAGGAATTGAGAAATGACGTTTCATATGAAAGTTGTGAAGGCCATCAAAATAATAAAAACAGGCAACGTGACATATGTGATGCGAACCCCGCAGTTTTTAGTCAACAGGCTCACGTGGCGTTGATATTTTGGCTTTGTGGAAATGCGCTGTTTGCGACACCTTGACATGCTTGATTCTTGGCTTTGTATTGTTAAATGTGCAACGTACTAGGCTCAGATAGCACATTTATGATGATTGATGGTTGATACATGTGGGGGATTTCTTTAATAAGTATTTATTTATTAGTCCAGCACTTGTCATGTCTTGTTCCCTCGCTGTTTTCGTGTTTTTTAATGGTTTCTTATAAAGTGTAGTTCGCTAAAAATCATCACATTTATCGTCATGCGAGTGACGTAACAACTATCCTCACACTTTTCCTCTTCTCCCGATATCTTCCCATCGTACGCATATACAAAATTAATTCACCAACGCATGACGTGATCTATTTGACCATTCATCAACAAACTATACAGACCGTTCGACCTCCTTTCAGCATGCTGTATGAGATATTCAGAAAGATAAACTAAATTGTGGATAGTGTTTTACTATAGATTATCATCATGCGAGTAATCGAATAATTGATAAAACTGCCAAACAAATGAAGAACCCTCAATATGACAGATTACTAAACGGCATTAAACTCTCAAGAGATATTTCAGCGGTTCTAGAGGTTGTTTAAGTGTTGTGTCCGGTCGTTCTGGCACAGGAGATTCGCAATGACGGGGTCGATGCAGCTTGAAGTAGAGGTAAACTGGACGTTCATTTAGAATAATTACAGGACAAGCATTTTGCTACGTGACGAACATATCGTGAAACCAGACGAAGATGTCTCCACTGAGCCAATGCCCGCCTGCAGGTCGACATTTTTGACTCGGCATTTCCACCACATTTTACCTACGCCCCGCCGCGGTGGTCTAGTGGCTAAGGTACTCGGCTGCTGACCCGCAGGTCGCGGGTTCGAATCCCGGCTGCGGCGGCTGCATTTCCGATGGAGGCGGAAATGTTGTAGGCCCGTGTGCTCAGATTTGGGTGCACGTTAAAGAACCCCAGGTGGTCAAAATTTCCGGAGCCCTCCACTACGGCGTCTCTCATAATCATATGGTGGTTTTGGGACGTTAAACCCCACAAATCAATCAATCAATCACATTTTACCTAGGGCGCCAATGTGTTCCTTTTCAAGTGCGAATGCGTTTTATAAGCGACCCTGAATCCGCCGTCCGCGGTGCGCGTCCTCCTCTCCCCTAGCAACGGCGTGAGAAGCGGAGAGGAGCGTCTGTAGCAACGGCGCAGCGACGTCACACACCACGTGATTGCGCGCGCTCCGCCCTCCGCGCAGCCATGACTTGCTCGAGATCGGCAAGTCGTCATAGGTACGGATCCACCGCAGGCATCAACCTCGACTGTGATACCCCCAAAAACGAGTACAATGCAATCGAATGCGAGCATTGCACGCGTAGTTGAAGATGTCGCGCCGGTTGAA